CAGGATTTGGAAACAGGAAATTTTGCAGCAACCCGAGCCTAAGTTGTTCAGTAGGATGAGTTATGAATTGAATCTGGTAAAAATGTTTTAATGGTAGTTGATATGACATATAAGGACACTTGTGTTAAAATTTGAGGATAAATGGAGTAGAAACGAACCTGAAAATGTGATTTAGAGTTTAGAGGGTCTTTACCGAAAACTAGAAAAAATGGAGAGTCCAAAATGCTAAGTTGCATTCGCTATAGTTATGAATATTTGGGGGTCGATTAGGATGTTAGTCCACTGTCCCAAATGAGAAAAAACTAAAGGATTAAACTCCTTACAAGTTAGTCACCCAGTATGAGGTCTAAAACCATAAAAGTTGTAAAACCGGGACCATTTTATAAATTAACAAACTGTAAGTGAAATGAGGGTTTAGATTTGTGTGAAAATGTTTCTTAAACCCAAATAACATGTTTTGAGTTAGTAAAGGACTTAGATTGGAGTCCGAAACCCAGTAGGCCCATATAGGGGTGAAAGTGTCCATTTTTACCGCCGTTAAGAGTAAAAAGGTAATTAAACCATACCCACCATATTTCTACGACTTAAATCTATAGAAGAGTTCATTTTAAGATTAAATTTAAAGTTAGAGAGTTTGGGTCCAAGCGAAATCGGATTTGGGCCTCTACTCTAAAGCCTCAAAGATTGGGCCTAAGGCCCAATACCAATTTTAGAAAGACCACAAGTTAAGAAAGGGTCTTCATAGTTCCTTAGTGTCGGCCCAAAAAGATAAATGACTCCTTAGAATCCACGTCTATGATGAAGTAAATTAATTTATTTATTTTGTAAATAAATGAATCGCATTTTTTGTTTTTTTTGTTTTTGTTTTTTTTTCCCTCTTTGGACTCATAGAAAATATGTCCACTAGGTTTCACTTTTGTTTTATGTGTCCCTTGAAAGAATAATTTTTTCATAATTATATGCTTTTTTTATATATGTAGATCCAAGCAAGCGTATAACTTTGGATTGGGGTAAGCTTACAAAGTTATAAGAGGAGTTGCGAGAGGGTCCTTTATCTGCATGAAGATTCTCAATTAAAAATCATTCATCGAGATCTCAAAACTAATAACAATTTGTTAGATGAAGAAATGGATCCTAAAATTTCAGATTTTGAAATGGCAAGGTTGTTTGTTGTTGATCAAACTCAAGGCAATACAAGTCAAATTGTGGGAACCTAGTAAGGCCAAATACTTCCGATTCGGTTAATTAATTACTTTGTATCATTGAGTGAACATATATCCAAATCCTAAAGATATGACCAGAAGTGAAAAAAAAAAGGCACTTTATAACATAAAAATGATAAATGAAAAAGAATCTCTTAATTTCGTGTTAAATAGTATTTAACTCCATATAACAAAGAAACAATACTTTTGAATGAAAAAAAGGAGTAAGAAAAATTATTATGAACGATTGAGAGCTAGCACATCATCTAAATCAAACGTTGATTAATAGTACTAAAACTTCATTTCTTTATTTAGTGGATATATAGCTTCAGAATATGCTATAATAACAGATAATTTTTAGGCAAGTCCGATGTTTTCAGTATCGGCGTCTTACTTTTAGAAATAGTGAGTGGTCAAAAGACCAATTGTTTCTCTCATGGAGGGCAAGGAGATCAAGACCTTCTAAGCCATGTAGGAACAAAAATACCTATCTTTGGAAAAAAAAAAATGTTAAAACTTATGTTTGTTTGAAATGAAAAAGATTTTGATCTCTTAAGTACTAGACATATATGTTCCCAATATTATTTTTGACAGGCCTGGACAAGTTGGAGAGAAGGGAATGCGTCAAATATTATAGATCCCCTACTGAGGCTCAGTTCAAGATCCGAAATAATGAGATGCATTCACATTGCACTGTTGTGTGTTCAAGAAAAGACAGCCGACAAACCAACTATGAATAGAGTTGTTCTTATGCTAGGTAGCGACTCTCTCTCAGTCCCACTGCCCTCAGAACCAGGTTTCTTTATACGTAGTAACAATACGACGTCGGACATTTCATTGGTATCTGATCATTCCAATTCAAAGGACATTAATGAATCAGATCATTCCAATATCGAGAGTGCTCAAGCATCTGCAAATGAGGCTTCAATCACTGAAGTCTATCCTTGCTAGAGTGACTATAATATATAATATTCCTAGAAAAATGTCTCTTTTTTCTTTAATCTTTTATTGTTTATTAATATTATATATATAGATATATATATATATATTTTTTCCATTTGGTTTGATCAGTTAACTTTCATGGTATAAACAAGTCAACTGGGTCTTCTCTGGACTGTAGCACTAATTGGGTACCGTTTCAGTGTTGTGATCTTTGCCTAGTAATTTATTTATTTAAAGAACCATCATAATCAAATGCAGCAGCGATATTGGTCCATACAAAAAGTGTAGGGCGTGAACTGTATAACGGTGTCAAAATGAATGGACCACCATTCAATTGTATCAATTCTATACATAATAAAATACAGTTTGTCTTTTAATAACTAATTACACACCTAGTTGATCATATGTGCTAGTATGAAATCATATGATGACTCAAGCCATTCAATAATCAGAAGATTTTTCCAACCGAACTACCCACATCAACAACATACGAATTTTCCACAGGAAAAAATTGCATAGCAATATTAATGAATTTATTTATTTATATTTTAAAACTGAGGTGATTAATGGATTCGAATTCCAACCTCAACATTGGAGGCGATAGTGACAAAATCGGGAATTATTTCAAAGGGATATGAAGTAAAGCTAAGAGAAAAATTTAAACTAATAAAGAGTGTGGAAACTAAAAAATTATATTTAAATCCTCAACACATATATATATATAAATATATCAACTATTAATAACTCAATTTAATGAATTATATATATATATATATATATATATATCAAACAAGTCTACAAAAACAATCTTTCGATAACGCTAGCTACTTCAAGAACGCGGAAAAGGACTCACATAATTCAATCAAACACCAAACAAACTTATAAAGAACAACACTGAGATTTATAGTAGTTCATGATATGCGTCCCACATCCGCTTATGACTGTCTCTAAGCTTACTCCACTAAATCACTTAAGAATAGAATTATATAGCATGTTTATCTACGTGTAATCAGAATAGGTATAAATTAGAGTGGGTAAGATTTAAAGTGAGAAATTAGAGTCATAATAAGTTTTTTACTTGGTGTTAGGATTTAGAATGTAAGTCACTACAAATCCCTTCATGCTTTTAGTTATACTCAATCGGAATGAACTAGCGTAAAAATACTAACATATCATTTAAGTAAATGTTGTATTTTTAATTTAAAAAAATACACTGCGTATTATATTAGAGTTAAACATAATTAAAATATTTATTATATTAATAGGACAATAAAATAATAAATGTACATTTTCATAATTATTTGAAATATATAGATAAAATTACCAAAATTTGAATAAAATAAATAAAAAATAAAGAATAGTGTTGAAAATTAAAATATATTATTAATTTTTATAGACAAAATAAAGTACATATTTATTGTAAACACGCCAATAGAGTATGATTCTGTATATCGATTTCTCACCACCCTTGACAAGCACTGATGTAAGGCTGACAAGTTGCGCCTATAGCTGGGGTCGGGCACAGATGAGCAAGCACCGCCTCTAGAGCATGGTTGACAGACTGGAGTTGTACCGAGATCGTTGTGATCGATTCGACAGGCCTCAGAAGTGCGATGCCAATTGACATATCAGGTCCGACCAAGACCGGTGCCATATTGACCCGCCTTCCTGGGATCGCTATTGGGGTATGTCAAGACCATAGGCCCTTTCTGACACCATTTTTGTACATGTCGTTCCAATTCATCTCGACCTACCAACACTGATCCCAACAACCATCGACACAACTCTAGCAACATTCTTAGCCTAATTTGACTTGACCATGGCTGTAGTTTCGACCCAACCCCTGCACCTATTCCTGAACGTGAGTTCAACCCAACGTTGACTTCCCCTGTCGCAGAATTCAGTAACCACAACCTTACACTTAAATATATATATATATATATATATATATATATAATATGAAGGAGACGTTTGGTTCATGGTTAGAATTATGAGATTAAAATTATTTTTGATTTACGTGTATTTTTTGTGAGAGAAAATATTGTAACGAACTACGAACCATAATTTGAATCAGGGTACGAATCCCCTAACTAAACAACTCAGAAGTTTTTATTTCCACGACAAAAAGATTTATAATAATTAAAAAAAATACGTTAGTTTCTAGTGATTCTAACAACTTAGTCCGCGGTCACTGAGCCAATGTACACGAAAAGTGAAACGGACTTATATACATAAATAAACAAAGATAAATTATGGCGCGTTTTCAACGAAAAACAGACATTTTCAATTATATATACATCCAGCTCTTTTGTCCTCATCCACTCCCGTCTCAGTCAATTGAGATTTCTAATATCTTTTAAGTTCCAATTAATAATGTCTGAACGCTGACTTCAAGATTAATTTAAAGTCGCATATTTGTAGGGAACAAGCAAATTAACTATAAAGTGATAATGTTGATTATTGCATCAAAATCTAACACAGTACACTACGATTTTATATATGTTAAACTATTTGCTACATAGTAATGCGTGGATCAATCTTTTCTATTGGTTTAAAATAAAGAAAGTACATAAATTAGAAAAAGTAATGAGATATATGATTTTCTTTCTCTAGTCAAAAAAGAAGACAGGGAAAGTTTAGTTCCGGTTAATTCAAACAAAGACTCGCAAATATTCTTTCCAAGAAGGATCATAGTCAATAATTATGCAAGAAAAGTCTACGCAAATTTCACCCACAAGAGTTAAGATCACTAATTTCCAATTCATTCCTGATTCCCCTACCAGATAGCATTGGCAAATAAATAAATAATAACAATGGCTTTTTCAGGACTAAAACTGTTCTTTCTGATCTCTTCCATTATGTTCATGTTAACAACTTCCAGCATCAATGCCCTAACAGAGTTCCTAGGTTACTCCTGCAATAACAACCAAGGTAACTACACTGGCAACAGCACCTACCAGACCAACCTCCGCACTGTCCTCTCCTCTATCGTCTCCAACGATAGAATTGGCGCCTTTTATCGTCCTTCCTCCTACGGCGGAAACCCCGACGTAGTCTATGCCACAGGGCTCTGCAGAGGAGACCTCAAGCTGGAGGAATGTCGCAGCTGCCTCAACGACTCCAGACATCTTCTCACGCAGCACTGTCCTAAACAGAAGGAGGCCGTCGGATGGTACGGAAAATGTACCTTGCGCTATTCCAACCGCTACATATTTGGAATTAACGAGGAAGATCCTGGTATTATCTTGTGGAACAGGCAAAATGCTTCCTCAGATGCGGAGGCCTTTAATCAAAGGCTTATGGACGTGGTTGATGTCCTGAGAAGCCGGGCTGCGGGGGGGAATTCTTCTCTTAAATTTGCCGCAGGAAGCGCAAATGCTCCAAGTAACTTTCAGACAATATACGCACTTGTGCAGTGTATGCCGGATTTGTCGGACTCAGATTGCAATGACTGCATCGTTATGGGTCTTAAATATCTGAAGACATATTCTTATGGGAGCATTGGCGTGTTTGTTGGTCTTCCTAGCTGTGACGTTGCTTATGATCTCAAACCCTTTTATAATTTAACGGTTAATGAGCCGATTCAGTTATTGTCACCATCGCCCCCGTCACAAACACCTCCTCTTTCGCCGGTGGTTGATTCTCTTCCACCGCCAACAAATGGCACAGATGCGGTAAAAGGTATTTCACCAGTTCTGTTACCAGAAACATAGTTTTCTCAAACTTCGAGATCAGTAATTTCGAAATTATCCTCTTTGGGAGATTTGATTAAAAGTTGTGTGTTCCAGGTAAAAATGATGCATCTGGAGATTTGGCGCTTACGGTTGTACCATCTGTTGTTGTCTCTCTCGTAGTGCTAATTATCTGCATCAGCCTAATTTACTTGAGAATGAGGAAGCGAAAGGAGAAACTTAAGAGTAAGTTGAGATTTCATAAGTTCAATTATTTCCAGACTTAAGCCGTTTATAATTGTGCAGTTTATGCACCTCATATAAGTCTAGAATTCCAAAAAAAATATATATATATTAATAATAATTCTATGTAATTGAACTCTGTTCGAACAAAATTTTCTTTTCATGTGTGTTGGGAAATATTGGTCGGAAATTATTTCAATCAACTAAAATTTGTTATTTGAATGTATTTTATTTGTCTTTTTGTTACAACTCATTATACTGAAAATTGATTCGTAAAATTATGTATGTTAGCTCATTCTTCAAGCGAAGGTGAGGAAGTAACCAACGGCACAGAATTCTTGCAATTTGACTTTGGCACAATTAGGAATGCAACTGACAACTTTTCTGAAGCAAATAAGCTTGGACAAGGGGGATTTGGTGCCGTTTACAAGGTAATGAAACATATTGCACCGCCTGGTATTAATTATGTGTAACCTAGAAGTTAAAAGAAAAACACACTCTCTTTATACGCTTTATTGAAGTATCTATATAAACTTTGGTTTTCAGGGTAAGCTTTCAAATGGAAAAGAGATAGCAGTGAAACGGCCGATAAAGAATTCAGGTCATTCTAGACAAGGAGATGCCGAATTTAAGAATGAGGTCCTATTGGTTGCCAAGCTTGAACATCGGAATTTAGTCAAACTTCTAGGTTTTTGCTTACAGACAAATGAAAGAGTACTTGTCTATGAATTTGTTCCCAATGCCAGTCTCGATCGCTTTATATTTGGTACACTGGAATATCCCCTTTCGGTTTCAAATAGTAGTACTCTTTAGAACATCATATTTAGGCTTTTGAAATATTGACCGTCATATTCTCTACTTTTGCTAATCTGGCCTATTTAAAAATATAGATCCAGTCAAGCGCGCGCATTTGGATTGGACGGTACGCTACAAAATCATTATAGGCATTGCTAGAGGGCTGCTTTACCTTCATGAAGAGTCTCGTCTCAAAATCATTCACCGTGATCTCAAAGCCGGAAACATCTTGTTGGATGCTGAAATGAATCCAAAAATATCAGATTTTGGAACGGCAAGAATGTTCGCACTTGATCAAAGTCAAGAGAGAACAGACCGAATTATGGGAACCTAGTAAGTGACGTCTTATATATCAGGTTTTAATGAAATATTTAATCCCCTTCTAATGGATAGTAGAGCTCATATATGTCCAATAATCTGTTTTGGCCATTTTCATGTTTGGTACAATTATGGTCCAAATTTATAGCATTTTTTTAGTATTAGCTCGAATGCTTATTGCAAATGCCATTTTCTGAAAAGTGGGCAACATACATTTTGTGTCATGGACTCATGGTAAACAGAACTCTGCCGCTCGAAAAGAAATTGTGCCAGAATTAGCACTCAGCCATCTTGTTTCGGGGGGATAATCACAATCATTATATTATGTCATCAAGTAATTATAATCATGAAAATTTCTTAATTTCCATTTCAACCAAAGCTAACCTCGTAATGGATATTGACATGCAGTGGATATATGGCTCCGGAATATGCTAGACTTGGACGGTTCTCAGTTAAGTCCGATGTCTTTAGTTTTGGTGTGTTAGTTCTGGAGATTATATGTGGCCAAAGAGTTAGCAATTTCCGAAAAGGCGGGAAAATGGAGAACCTGCTGAGTTATGTATGTACTACTATTATTTTTCATTTTATGATAGTTACGGAAGGATTATTATCTGGACATAGATTTGAACCCTTGTGGCTAGTAAAATGAAGCACTTGTGAGAAAATAAATTCTATCCCTAATCTGTTATTCTGTTTGTTCAAATCATTGCAGGCATGGGAAAATTGGAAGGAAGGTAAGGCAATGAATCTTGTGGATCCCAAAATGAGCCATTCTGCTTCAAGACATGAAATAGTAAGATGCATCCACATTGCATTGTTATGTGTGCAAGAAAAAGTAGCTGATAGACCAACTATGAGTTCAGTTATTCTGATGCTAAGTAGCTTTTCTCTTGCCCTCCGATCACCTTCCCGGCCGGCGTACTTTCTGATGGAGTCAGATCAATCTAATAACAATCTTGCCCCAATTTCAGAGAATGACGTTTCAGTTACCGAATTATATCCCCGTTGATATGAGTAGGGAACGGTACACTTAAATGTCCTTAGTTCATATTTCTTTAATTTTTTGGTCCATTGTTTTGGTAACGGTGTCGAATTTGTCATCAAACGAGCACTGATAACATAAGAATCCATGTGTGTTCAAGCATTTGAGCCTTCAATTTGTAACTGAATTATCATCGCTAGTGTGAGGTCACGTATTGTTATAGCATGATTATGATCGGAACTTGAGATATATCAAAAATCAAATGAAAGGCATGTTACATACATTTACTTTTCTCCGTACGTATTTTACTAGGTCCTCAATATTTGGACTAGAAATATATAGAATATTAAAACGACACATTAAAATATCTCTTGCAATATTAATAGTGATTCCATTACGATAGAAACAGTGATGTCACGGAAGCTTAGATTAAAGCAAGTAATTAAATAATAAGAATAACTGTTCACTCAAATTAATATAGGACAATATAGGAACCATAGGATTCCATATATAATGCTAGAAAAATGAGCATCAATCACTTATTGATTCCACATTATACCGAGAGAATTGAAAAATAAGAAGAGTAAACAGTCTAACTTTACTCATAAAAATTCCGTCTTTATACATAGGATGGGATCACAAACATATTTATAGGCTAATTAATTGTCCCAAATAGTAACAGAATTTATACTACAAATTAAAGTAAAAAATAAATAATTCTCGAAGTAACAAATAAATAATAATAATAATAATAATAATAATATAATACATTATTGTGTTTGGTTCCATACAAAAATCTTTCTCAAATTCCTAAGAATATTACATTACTGTGTTTAATTGTGCATGAAAATGTTAGTGAATTAAAAAAAATATTTTTTTAAATGAATAATAATAATAATGATAATGATAATGATAATGATAATAATAATAATAATAATAATAATAATAATAATAATAATAATAATAAGAATAATAATAATAATAAAAATAATAATAAGAATAATAACAACTACAAGAACAACAACAAGAACAACAACAAACAACAACAACAACAGAAACTAACTTACATTTGACCCCAAGAACAAAGCCAAAATTAAATTTGACTTTCCTGTATCAAATAATCCCAAAAGGACACATTTCTAATTGTAACATTAATTGATAACCTTTAAAAATAGAATTTGACTTTTCTTTCACAATAATTATTTTCGAGCCAAAAACTATTTCTTAACTGCCACATGATTTTTTCTCTAAATGGCTGCATCAATAATGTTGTCAGCAAAAGGATGAGCAAAATAATCACTTTACTTTAAAAACTGTCCAACCCACAACTTTTCAAGCGATGTGGTGTGGCTTTATACTTCGGGGTTTTGGTTTGGTGCCTAATTAGTGCTTAATCGCAAGGTGCAGTTTGGTTTACAGTTAAAAATTTTCAAAACCACAATTTACTACATTGCACTTTAAGTATATTTTCATCAGTGAGATTTTATACATTAATTTGTTTCATGATTTTATATATATAATTATATTCCTATTATTTAGTATTATCTTGTACACATGTTTTTTTTTCTTTTGTAAGATAAACAAAGACTTCAGAAAATAAATATGATGTGCTTATATAAAGAAATTAGTATTATGGTTGTGGTTTATTCTAATATATATTGAGTATTTTCTTGTTATATGTACATACATTAAAAGAAAGTTATTTAGACAAATGTGCTTAGTTCTTGTTAGGTCTAAGTTTGTAAGCTATAAGAGTATCTCTAATATCAATTGTATATTTGACATTAAAAAGTATGATCATAAGTCGTGTTATTTTCTTCTGTACTCTAATGTATAATGGTATTTAAAATGCTAAATTTACTTTTTCCTATCATCATTAAGCTTTGAAAATTATAAAAGTAGACTTTTAATTTTTAAAATAATTTTAAAATGTAAAATTTGCAATGATTAAATGAAAAGGTAAACATATCAATCAATAGTAATTAAATGTCAAATTTTTCATATGTTATACTTGATGAGAAATTTACTATAATGTACAACGTATGAAAACTTTGGCACTACAAATAGCATTGAATTGGATAGTGTTTTTTACACTCAAATGTTAAATTTATAATTAGTACATAAGTTATAGGATTGCATTAGAGATCCTCAAAGGGCTAAACTACTCGTTTTACTAAGGAAAAAAAAAAAAAAACAAAACAAAAATTAAAGTACAATCTAAGAAAGCATCCTACCATTTTCTATTGGACAACAAATTATTCTCTCTTTTACAGTGATGGATCTAGGATTTGAATTCATGTAGGGCATAAATATGAATCAGAATAATAATAAAAAATTAAGTAAAACTTCCAACATCTCTTAGTAATAATTTTTTATTAAGTGTTATGCATACTACGAAATGATATCATGTATATTGTTAATATTAAAATCAACGTCCTTCTAGAATTAAGAGAGTTCTTAAATTGAGAAAGTCACCACATCTGCACATTAGCAAATTAAGAAAAGAAAACAAGGGAAACCATTGTTTAACTAAAAACAGAAGGAGATAAAAGTAAAATTTGCTAAATTACTAATCTATGTCGTCCACTAAAGCAGAATCAATGTTTTTGGCAGACAGGAAGATACATTTTTCCTAGAGATGCAAGAACGGGCCTGCCCGGCCCGTTCTTCTAAGGTCCATGCAGGCCGTGGGCCTAGCGGGCTCAGCCCATGAATTTTGTGGGCTAGGCCGGGCTGGCCCATATAAGAATGACTTCGGTCCAGCCCACACCACAGGCTAATTTTACATGGGCCGTGCCGCGGGCTAGGATGGGTCGCGCTATGGACCTTGAATGACCCGGCCCACTCAAGGCCCATCATGGGTTTAGATGGCCAGCCCATATAAGCATGCAATTTTTAATTTTTTAATTTTGAATTTTGAATTTTTAAACAAGTTAACAAATAAATAAGTTTGAATAGTCAATGGAAATATGAAAAATGATATTTTATTTACGATTACCTCATTAAATAAAAATCTTTTTAAGGAAAACCCAGTGGGATAAAATCTTAGTAAGAAAAAAGAGTACAATAAAGATAATTACACATAAGATGTTTACAAAATTACAAAACAAAGGAAAAAAAAAACATAAAAATATTATGGGCCTAGATTAGCCGGGCTATTATGGGCTTAGATAGGTCGAGCTGGGCCTGTCCATCGTAGGCCTAGACGGGCCAGTCCAAACCTAGGCTGGGCTGGCCCGTGGGCCGATATATGTTGGCCCAGCCCAGCTCACAAATATTTATGGGTTAGGTCGTGCCTTGAACAGTGACGGGCCGTGCCAGCCCGGCCTATCACTATATTAGGATGGGCCTGGGCTGGCCCATGAGGCTCAGCCCATTGTTGCATCTCTAATTTTTTCTTAGAGAAAAAATGATTCGGTGTGGCTCATTTCATGAAATTACCACGTGTCATTATACGGTCGTCCTTTATCCACGTGGCACGAAACTATTCCTCCGCTAGCGGGCGTCCACGTGTAAATAAATAATCGGAGAAAAAAATTGAGCTCAGTAAGCATGGAGTAGACAATCTCTCGCAAGTTGTGGCTGACAATCCCATGCCGCATGTCGTTGTCTCATTCCCCAATGGAAAACGTGGCGGGCCCACATGTAGAAAAGCTGATGTGTTGTCTGTTTCCCCCCGTTTGATGCGTCTCTTTCCGCGCATGGCTCTCACGCGCCAATCACAACCTCTGGCGGTTAGATCCGACAGTCATAAAAAAGTCTCAGTTTTCTTTATTAATTATTATTACTTATTATATTTATTTATTTATTTTAGAGGTATTTATTGTCCGGTTTTGTCCATTTTTATACTATTTTATCAAATTTCTGATATTACTTAGATAAATATGATATAAATAATTGAGATAAAATTAAAATTAAATAAAATCACACCTTGTTAGATAAAGGACAAATTAAACAAAAAAAAAATGTAATTAATTTTGAACACATTAAACTAAGCAGAAACATAACAATGTAACATTTGCTGAAAAAAAGAGATGAAAAAAATAAATTGTATATACAATGAGAGTAAAAACAAATTGAAAACATAATAAAACAAATTGTTTACAAATTGTTTAATCTTTTTTTGCTTCTGAATTCTTCTATAATTCAATTGTTTATTAAGCTTATTAAATTGTTTATAATTTTTTTTCAAATTTTTTGGCGCACTAAAAAGCGGAGAGGTTTTTCCATTGACATGGATGCACTTCTTCCTATGCGTGCTCTTCACAGGGCCCATCGCAGCTGTTAATGATCTCAATCTAACGGCCGAAATAATTTCTAATTTTATTTATTATTATATTTATTTATTTATTTATTTTCAAATTATTTGGCCCACTAAAAAGCGGAGAGGTTTTTCCATGCACTTCTTCATATGCGTGCTCTTCACATGGCCCATCGCAGCTGTTAATGATCTCAATCTAACGGCCGCAATAATTTCTAATTTTATTTATTATTATATTTATTTATTTATTTATTTTGAATTATTTTGTGGTCCATCTCAACAACGTTTTGCATCAAATTTTTGATGCTATTTAAATAAAAATGTTATAAATAATTTGAATGAAAAATAAACAAAAATCACTAAAATAAAATAAAATCACACAAAACTAACTATAAAACAAATTAAACAAAACAAAATAGAACTAATTTAAAATACAACAATATTTTTTGTTTTAGATTTTTTCCTTACTTTTGTGTTAATTTCTTTTGTGTCCTTTTTTCTTCTTCTTTCTACTTTTATTTTTTAAAAATAATTTATATAACCGTTATTTTATATTAATCTTGTGCACAGAGCGGATGTTAAAAACTAGTACTAATAAGAAACTAGAGCAATTTGAAAAAAAAAAAAAAAAAAAAAAAAGGATCTAAGAATTTGAAAAGGAAGTCTGAATACAATTAAGCCCAACAGACTCCTTAAACAAGAGCCTAAGACATGAGTGAGAACGGTAAGACCTCATATTAAATAGTGGGGCACATCTTAAAAACTCAACAGACATATATAACTACTTTCCGATTTTTCTACGTTGGACTTGTAAATGCAATGGGTCCACAGTTTAGTGGTCCTTCTTGGTTCATATATGCAATTCACGCGGTACTTCTCAGTCAATATTGACTACTCACTTTATCTGGTCGCTGCTTTTACAATTAAGGAAAAATTGCGAGTCCCACGTATAGACGGGGAGTGAGGTAGACTTGTACACGCGTTTAGAATTGATTTTATTTTTATTTTTTTATATTTTTTAAGAAAATAAAAATAAAAATCTTTTTAAAATGACGTTTGACACAATAAAAATAAAAAATAAAAATAAAAATAATTTTTTAATTTAGTGTAAAATGAGAGAGAAATAAAAAATAATTTTTAGTCGCATTTAATTTTTTATTTTCGTTTTCTCCTCTCTCGAGCAGAGAGAAAAAGATAGAGACAATAATAGACAATCTCTTGATAAAACTACTAAACGTATTTTTAAAAATAATTTCTATTTGAGATTGAAAACGTTTTCATTTCTATTTTCATACAAAAAAATAAATTATTTTATAACGAGTTCTAAATGCATCCGTAGTGTTTTAGTGCACTTCGTGTGTTTATATAGGTTACGGTGTTACATGTTCTTAAATGACTCTTGTTTGATCTGTTCATGAGTTATGTTTATTTATTTATTTTTTCATGTCTATGTTTATTTATATTTATATGTATGTATATATACATAAACATTGTTCCTTAAAATAACAAATGCAGTTACTCATTTAGCTTAAAAAAAACAGAGAGAATTTACTTTTTTTTTTCAGTAAATGTAATTAAATAAAGAGCTTTCTACTTCCGTACGTATAGCAAGAAAAAGTTTTACGTATATATGGCTGGACCGTGTTTCCATCGAAGTTTTTCCCATCCTGCAGCTTTCTCCATATAAGTGACATTGACGAAGTAAATGCATAAAATTCTTCGTTTCACACTGCAGTGAATTAACGTGTTGGTTCACGCAGACAGGTCCACATATATATATGTATATGATTATGTGCAACGTTTGTTGTTTTACACTCCTGTTCCAATCAGCCGTTTATTAAATGCAATTGGTCAATAGTCCCTTCTCAATCATGTTTATTCTCATCTAGTTACTTTTCAATTAGCAAAATTCCTTAGGCAAGCTTGCTGGTCAAGCATAGATAATTGAATGGGTAGGAGAAGTTTAGAGTTGGGATATAGAAGGCGTAACAAAACAAACTATACCAAGAAATTAATACTAATAAGCTTTATTCATAGGAAGTTTCTTTAGTAGTTCTCCCTACCGGCGATCTTAGTTTTTTTTACCGCCGGATTTAGTCAAAATCAAATTGAATTGAAAAGTATGTAGAACAGACATATTTTGATACAAATTTGACGGCTAAAAAGTAAAAAATTACTGATAGTCTATTTTTACAAAGACTATCATAGAAAGTCTCTTATTCATAAAGCTTTTTATACATGTAGTAACATTTTTTTAGTCATCTTGAAATATAGAAAAACGTTTAGAATATTTTACAAAAAGCAAAAACTGACATTATTAAAATGATCACTATGTAATTCTCAAAAAAAAAAAAAATGATTACTATGTAATTTAGAATGAAGATGAATAGCATTAAAATAATTACTTTAATTTTTGCTATTTCTAAAATGCTTAAATTGCTTTATTTTATTAAATGACTATATTTTAACTCCACTCAATTTACTATGTAGTGTGATTTTTACTTATTTAATTTATTCATATTTGTATAGTATCACATTAGACGTGCAACTGAAAATTATAAAGAATGTTCTTTTATCTAATTCAAATCATAACTTAAACTTTTTACTATATTATTATTATCTCATAAAAATTTAAATTTAATCTTTTATTATAATAACTCGAGATTAGTTATCAGACTTTTGAACTTTTTCATTAATTGTTCTTCTTTACTTTACTCGTATCTTTTATTACCTTTCTTTTTAAAGTAAACCAAAGGAAACTTCCACATTTAACTTGGTCAAATCCCTCCTACCCAGTGCCAATATTTCCACACGTCCTGGTTGTGTTGCATGAAAGAGCCGTCACTTTCCCACCATAAATAAAATGTACCAATTATTTAACCAATTTGGTTGTTTCAGCTGACTCATTTAAGAGTTGGCTAGCTTTTTAAAACAACTCCAATCCCAATTGTTGACGGCAAAAACCGGTTTCTGTCTCGAAATTCGGTTTATCATTTCAGCGACCAATGGCAAGGGTTTGCTCTTCAATACTGTTTTTCATCCTCAGTCACATCTTCATTCTCCTAATAGCCCAGGTCACTTCTCAGCCAGAATTCCTGAATAACTTTTGTGAGAACGACAGAGGAAATTACACCAGGAATAGTACTTATGAGGCCAACCTCAACCACCTCCTTTCAACTCTTCCCTCCCAAGATGGCAACGACTACGGCTTTTACAATCTCTCATATGGAAATTCCTCCGACAAAGTCTACACGATTGCGCTATGCAGGGGAGATGCGAAGCCCGATGCCTGCCGCAGTTGCCTCAACGACTCCACGCTCCTCCTCCCACAGAGATGCCGCGATCAGAAGGAGGCGGTCGGATGGTACGACAACTGCATGTTGCGCTACTCCAACCGATCCATGTTCGGCATCGTTGAAACTTCTCAAATATTCTACATGTGGAGTGTCCAAAATGTAACCGACGCGGACGGATTCTACGAAAAACTAAGAACATTGATAAACCAGCTGAAAAATCAAGCTGCAGCAGGTGATTCCCTTCGCAAATTCGCAACGGGAAATGATACCACTCCGGAGTTCAAAACCATATATGCGCTTGTCCAGTGCACGCCAGACTTGTCGAAGGAACAATGCAACAATTGCTTGGATAGCGTCTTTGGGTATATTCCGCAGTGCTGTGGTGGGAAGAAAGGGGGGAGAGTTATTGGCCCCAGTTGTAACGTTAGGTATGAGGATTACCTCTTCTATGATTCTACAGCCAACCCGCCCCCAACTTCCCCACCAACGGTATCTCCTCCTCCGCCAACATCGACTAACACCACCCCAACACAAGGTATACGTGTTGTATATGTGTTTTCTGTCTTTGAATTATTGGAACTTAGAACCTCAACTCTGAAAGTTAACATGGAAAATGGCTTTGTTTAGTACTTTTTTAAGTTGGCCTTACTTTTCATGCCAATTATTGCGTGGAGTATGACACACTTGTCTATTTCTTTACATTCTATAAATTTTACCAGCAAAACTGTAAGATTTGTCAAAATTTATCCCCTAAAAATAATTTGATAGGAGCAGAGTTTTTGGTTTTGCAGGAAACGAGAGTAACACGTCTAGAACCGTCATTATTGTTGCTGTTTCAACTAGTGCTCTGTTTTTGGTGGTGCTAATTATCTCCGTCTGCGTGTTTTTTGGAATAAAGATGGCCAAGAAAAAGGAGGAAAGTAAGTTAACATTATCTAATTCAGTTCTTTTTGAGAAATATATACATTTTGAAATGTCCATTTTTTTATCAGTGTCACAATGAGTGTTATAACACTAATTGTAACACTAATAACAGATACGTACAAATGGATATATTTTTTCTTTGATTCATCAGCAACAAATTATAAGAGCAAAAAGATCAACAGAAACATAAAAGACACAAGAAATTAATATCGCAATTCGGTGCACACACCTACATTTACGGGACCATGTCCAAACAGTGAACAATCCACTATGATAAAGAGATTACAAACAGCAATCGGTCTTACATACTCAAAGACTCCCTCCTTGATGTAATCACCGCGCTGGAGAATCCTCTTAGTGACTTTGTTCAGCGAGCACCACTCGTCTTTGAAAACTTTCTCCCGAAAGCAATACCTTATTTTCCCGAAGAATCACCTTTTACTTTTTTCACTCAAAGAGCATCTAAGCAGCCTTTTGCTGCATAATATTTCATTCAAAAAGCTCTACCACGTTCATGGCTGCAAACCAAATATATACACCCTAAATTGGTCTATAGTCCAATCTATTTCTTGTACCAAAATCGCCCTAGATAAAGCAACTTCTCCTCTAAGAATTCTTCCCATACATAGAGCTCATCAATTAGCCACCAAAAGTCAACCAAATCAGCTCCATAAACTTATTTCCTTTTATTGAGGAAATCATCCCAAATCCGATGCAAGTAGCCAAGAATAGAGTCTCCATAGTAGTCCATAATCTTATTGATTTTGTTTTTAAATGTACAACCATTTGCCAACAAATTAGCCAACTAATAGTCCTAAAAATCTCCCACTTTGACATTTTTTTGTCAAAACTAACATATTGTTCCTATTAACAATAAAAAATCAAAAACTAGAAAAAAAAAAATACAAAAACAACACCTTTCTCTCCCTTTTTGACAAAAATAAGCCAAAATCTATAACATAAAGTTTACAAAATAAAGAATAAAAAATTCACACCGTTGACCCTTCTATAGTAGCTAATGTCTCAGATCATGTTGTAACCCTTGTTAGAACACTCGAAATAACACTTCGCACTAGATATCATCTTTCAAGGTCATTGATCTCTGCAAATCACTCCCTCTGAATCCTCTACGAGTGTTACTCCCCCTATAATATTCTCCCATGCATATTTTTCAAAAGCTTGGGAGACCATTACCACAATACCTAGAGTTAGTAGTACACGCTTTAAAAGAATTATAAGCCTCATGATACCTTAAATCAGATTTCCTTACCCACATGTCTAGAAAATTTGATTTGCACATCAACCTTCATTTTAGGTGTCCTTCTTGCGAAATTTGGTGGATTAGGAAGGATATCTCTCTTCAAAGCATTCAAATACTTGTAGCATCTTGGTCTTATATGGCCAGCTAAACCTCAATAATGACATATGGGGACAAATCTTTTACGTCGAGGGGGTGAGATAATAACTTTTTTACAGAGGGTAGTCCGAGGTTCAGGAGCCGGTGTCTCCTTCACAAACACTATCTTGGACATTGAACTTTCACCAGTGTATCCAAGGCCTTGACAATCACCATTTGATCTTCCCAATGAAAGAATATGTTCTAGTTTATTTGTACCAGAATTCATCATTTTTAAATTTTTTTGAGTGCTCTCCAGTTCAGCCCTTGTTTTCTTCAAATTCTTTTCTCTCTTTGTAGTAAGGAATTCATAATTATCAGCAGCTCTCTTCAACACATCATTCTCTTTGACAAGCTCAATGACGCGCTCCCATAGAGACTTATATACTTCACACACTTTAACCCATTTGCTGAACATGGTCTTATAAGCTTCCTGTATAGCATCAACAATCAATTCCTCACCATCACTATTACTTTCAGAATCTGAAAACTCTCCTTCGTTTTTGCTGTTCACGGATTCTGTTTCAGCATTTGTTGTAACACTGTCTGCGACACTCTTTGTAACACTGTCTGCAGAAACACCTTGATCAGTATAAACATTAAAAGCAACGTGTTACTCACATGGTCTTCATCCTCCTGACTGCCTTCAGAGTCTTCATAGCTCCACTTCACATTCAGAGACTTCTTCTTCTTTAGAGTGTTGGCACACTCGGATTGAATGTGAACATAACCGTCGCATTCCCGGCATTGAATACCCCTTGTTTTTCTTGTTGAGCTTCTTCATCACCTTGTTAAAATTCTTCGATAATCGTGCTATGGACTTAGTTAAGTCTTTTTCATCATCGGACTCAACTTCTTCAACTTCGTCTTGAAAAGCAATGTTTTTCTCTTTCTCCTTCTTGTTTTCATTCAGGTTCATCTCGAAAGTATGCAAAGAGCCCATTAATTCGTCAAGCTTTTTTGACTGCACGTCTTTGGCCTCTTCAATAGCTATCACCTTGTAAGCAAACCTTTGAGGGAGTGATCTCAATGTCTTCCTCACCAGTTTTTCTTCAGGAATTTTCTCACCAAGTGCAAAAGCCTCATTAGCAATATCAAATAGCTTTGAATAGAAATCAGAAATTGTTTCATCTTTAAGCATGCGTAAGTTTTCAAACCTAGTAGTGAGAATTTGAAGCTTTTATAGTCTCACGGTTGCCGTGCCCTCATGCGCCGTCTATAGAATTTCTCAAGCCTCCTTGACCGACTCACATGTAGAAAATAACTTTGAATTGATTGGCATCCACCCTGTTGAAGATGGCATTAAGTGCTCTTGAATTGCTATTCGCCAATTGATCTTCTTCAGTAGACCATTTCTCTTCGGGTTTCATAACTTCTTCTCCAGCCTCATTTTTATTAAGTGGGTGCGTCCAACCAATCAACACAGCACGCCACGCTTTCTCATCAAGTGCTTTGATAAACGCCTTCATACGAGCTTTTCAATGAGAATAATTGCAACCATCAAGGAGAGGAGGGAATGAAACCAAACCACTTTCTTTCAGAAAATCGATCCCTGATACAACAGACCAACTCCTAAAATCTCACCAAGCAAATGGTTAGTAAACCGCTCTGATACCAATTGTTAAGTCCGTTTTTCGGTCGGCATCACAAAAGTGTTATAATACTAGTTGTAATACAGATGACAGATACGTGCAAATGGATATATTTTTTCTTTTATTCAACAACAGCAAATTATAAGAGTAGAAAGATCAACAGAAACATAAAAGACACAAGGAATTGATATCACTGTTCGGTGCGCACACCTACATCTGCGGGGTCACGCTCAGACAATGAATAATCCACTAAGATAAAGAGATTACAGGCACCAATCGGTCTTACACACTCAAAGACTCCCTCATTGATGTAGTCGCCACTGTGGGGAGAATCCTCTTAATGACTTTGTTAAGCGAGCATCACTCATCTTTGAAAACTTTCTCCCGAAAGCAATACGTTCTACTCCCGAAGAACCACATTTTGTTTTTTTTTTCAACTCAAAGAGCATCTAAGCAGCCTTTTGCTGCATAATATTTCATTCAAAAAGCTCTACCACGTTCATGGCTGCAAACCAAATATGTACACCCTAAATTAGTGTATAGTCACATCTATTTCTTCCACCAAAATCACCCTAAATAAAGCAACTTCTCCTCCAAGGATTTTTTCCATACATAGAGTCAATCAATTAGCCACCAAAAGTCAACCAAATCAGCTCCATAAATTTATTTTCTTTTATTGAGGAAATCATCCCAAATCATCATCCTAAATCCGATGCAAGTAACTAAGAATAGAGTCTCCATAGTAGTCCACAATCTTGCTGATTTTGTTTTTAAATTTACAACTTTTTACCAATAAATTTGCTAACTAATAGTCCTAACAATTTTGTTGTTACATCCTTCAACACAGAAAATGCTCCACATAATAATCTCCTCTGCTTCAAGACATAGCATTCCTCTGCAATGCTACTTTATTACTGTCACATCAAAATTTTATTTTAACTTAGTTGACTATTTGATTTATTTATGTTGTTCAAAAGAAAAATAACTTATTCATTTGATTTATTCTGTTCAAAAGAAAATTAACTTAATCATTTTATTCATGTTGTTCAAGCTCGTCCCTTGTACGAACCTGTAGAAGAAATTGAAAGTGCGGAATCCTTACAATACAATTTTGACACCATCAAAGTTGCAACGGATAATTTTTCAGAGGCAAATAAGCTTGGACAGGGAGGATTTGGCTCTGTTTACAGGGTAAGGCGATGAATGGACATTACACAATTAGTTCTTTATTTGAGTGGGTCACAAGTACTAAAACTTAATTTAAAAAAAAAAATACTATGACTTAGAATCCATCGTGTTAAATGGAACATATCCACTTTATGTGATGTACTTTAGGGAAGACTTTCTGATGGAGAAGAGATAGCTGTAAAAAGGTTGTCTAGGGGTTCAGGCCAAGGAGACCTGGAATTCAAGAATGAGGTCTTACTAGTTGCAAAGCTTCAACACCGCAATCTTGTTCGGCTCCTCGGTTTCTGCTTGGAAGGAAATGAAAGGCTTCTTGTATATGAGTTTGTTCCAAACGCAAGTCTTGATCACTTCATATTTGGTATGGTTGCATTTTTGTACTTTTTTCTCATACAGAATCATAGAAAATGTATCTATTATGCTTCAAATTTATTTCGAGTCTTGTAAAAAGTACTCTGCAACACATATAAATGCTTTGAAGTTTTAACTTAATGATACACTCGTATAATATGTAGATCCAAGCAAGCGTGCACATTTAAATTGGGAGAGGCGTTACAAAATTATAGGAGGCGTTTCTCGGGGACTCCTTTACCTTCATGAAGATTCACGTTTGAGAATTATCCACCGAGATCTTAAGGCTAGTAACATTTTGTTAGATGAAGAAATGAACCCTAAGATCTCAGATTTTGGAATGGCAAGATTATTCCTCGTTGATCAAACTCAAGGAAACACAAGTAGAATTGTGGGAACCTAGTAAGTACATGTCAAACTTGTCTAAATCTTAGTCTTTATTCATAATGTTGTGAGTTTTCTTGCAAACATTATTTGTTCCTTTTAATTAGTTCTTTGTATAAGACTTGCAAATCACTAAACCTTTCTTTGTTTGCAGCGGATATATGGCTCCAGAGTACGTAATGCATGGACAATTTTCAGTCAAGTCTGATATATTCAGTTTCGGTGTGTTACTCTTAGAAATAGTAAGCGGACAAAAAAATAATTGTTTCCGTCATGGAGAGCATGTAGAAGACCTTTTAAGCTATGTAAGTACAAAAACATTACAATATGCTGTATCATATAAACGGTCGAGACTATCAACACATCTTTAGTGGAATTATCGTAATAGTATTATTGTTGCTGATATTATATTTGCGCGTTTAAAATCACCGCAGGCATGGAGAAATTGGAGGGAGGGGACAGCCTTGAATGTTGCAGATCCCCTAATGAGACAAATTAGTTCGGGATCTGAAATAACGAGATGCATCCACATTGCACTGTTGTGTGTCCAAGTAAATGTAGCTGATAGACCAACGATGAATACAGTTGTTCTTATGCTAAACAGTAACTCTCTGTCCCTCCCAGTGCCCTCAGAACCAGCTTTCTTTATGCATAGCCGCATTGCATCAGATATGTCATTGGCTTCTGATCTCAATTCAAGGTCGGATCATTCGAAAAGCGAGTCTGGTAACCAAGCATCTGTAAATGAAGCTTCAATCACTGAATTCTACCCTCGCTAGTGTGAGGATAATTACTTGCTCATATGCCATGATTAATTAATGGTCATATCTAGATGCCCAGCAAATTTTCCCTCGTTTGATTTTTATTCTGTTCTTTGTCCCCACCACCAAATTGGACTGATGTTGCAGTTAGTATATATGAGCACCAATTTTTTTTATTGACCAATGCCTTAATGTTATTTCGATTTCTTTATAATTAGTCGTTGGTCGAAAGATATATAATTATATTGCTCTTATTTTTTCTAATTAATGTAATTTGGACTACTAATTACCATTAATTTCGTAACGTGTAAAGCTGAAAAACACCACTCAACCACATTTTGATAACACTAGTGAAACAAAACTTGTGCACTCACCATAGTTTCATTTGCTTAAATTTTTCTTCCCCGACATATGGAGCAAGTGTATCAAGTGCTAAAATTTGTTATTTCCATTTTTGCCCCTCAAACTTTACACTCATTCTCACTTTATCACATAAACTTCACTCTCATTGCCATTTTGCCCCTAATGAAAATACCCTCTCTGACGTGTCCTCACATGCAACAACTCCATGTATTTTTAACATATATAGCAGATGGGGTAAAATAGGACAAATCTTTAGTTTAAAGTAGATAAGGGATAAAGTGGAAATTGGCATAAAGTTTGAGAATGATCCATGGGGGAGTACCCTTATTGCAGAAAGGTCCACAACTCCACTTGGATATGAATCATATGATGTCATTTAAAGGTCCAATGTGGCGTTTCGCATCTGTTCCAATCTACCGTTTTATTTTTTATTTTTTATTTTTGTTTTTTGAGAGATCTTGTTGCTTAGGTTCCTCCTGATAAGATATACATTCGGTCGGGTGGATTTTAGAGTTGGACGCTGGAACAAGATGTAACAAAAGAAAGTAGCAAGAAACTAATCGATGACTAAGCTGGAACAAGGTGACAAAAGAAAGTACGAAGAAACTAATCGATGACTTAAAGTCGTAATTAATTTCTTTACTTTTGACTTTTCCAATTATTTTTTTGTCTATTTTGCTGCATAATTAAGGCATGTTTACTTTTCATTAAAGAAAATGAAAAGTAATGAGTGATTTCTTTTTCGTCTAATATGTTTTTATTTATAAAATTAATAATAAAAATTTAATGGGTCTCATACTATATATAGGAAATGGAGAAAAAAAATATTAATTCTTATACTCATTTAGTATTAATTTTTTATCAAAGAGAATAAATGTCAAATTTATTTATCTATTCTTAATAAATTATTATAATTTAATATTTATTTAATTATATAAAAGAATACTTTAGTGATTATATCCATAACATTATTATTCTTAATTTTAATAAACGTAGAAAATAGAATGAAGTTGTTTCTCATTATACTATCTAATAATTAAATAAATATAAAAAAAATAAATGATCATTAATCATATTACTTTATTTTTTTTTAATCTTATTACTTTTTTATTACATTCTTTTACAGTTTAATAAACACGCCGTTAATTGAAACGTGTAGCCAGTAATTTCCACATGTCCTCACAAACTTACTGTAAAATTTGGCTTGCTCTGAACAAAGTACTTAGCCAAAATCAAACTCATCATCAATATATAATTTGCGAACTCATCTTCCAGAATCAATGGCAATGATACTTCCTTCAAGACCATTTTACACCCTTTGCCCCATCTTCCTTCTCCTCATCCGAGCCACCACTCAGCCTGATTTCCAATTCTATTTTTGTGCAAAGGATGGAGGCAACGTTACTGATGCCTACCGTGCTTACCTCGATAATCTCCTGTCGTCCCTTGTCATAAAAGAAGATAATGGCTTCGGCTTTTATAATCTCTCTTACGGCAACGCTCCCGATAAAGTTTATACTTTGGGGCTATGCAGAGAAGATGTCGATTCCGAAGTTTGCCGTACTTGCCTCAACGACTGTTCATACCTTCTGAGACAGCGTTGCAGCAATAAGGAAGAGGCAGTTGGATGGTACGATAACTGTACGCTACGCTACTCCAACCGCTCCATGTTCGGCATCATGGAAACTTCACGAACATACGAAATGTTTAACTCCCAAAATCTAACTTGTAGTATATCAATTACTCTACCTAAAAAAATTACATATTAAAAGCATGGTATTAGAACTTGATTACAATCCCCTTTAAAGAAATGCGACTTATTTGGTATTTTTCATTCCATCTCCCCAATTTTTACACCAATCTGCTGAGGAATTTCAAAGTTCGGAATCCTTGCGTTTCAGTTTTGAGATCATTAGAGGTGGGAGAGATAACTTTCCTGAGGCAAATAAACTTGGACAGGGTGGATTTGGTTCTGTTTACAGGGTACAGATACAACTAAAAGCTCAGTTCCTTGCTTGCTTCAGATCGTCTGAGTGCAATTTCTTTCCTCATCTTTGTAAATATTTTTGTGAAATATTTCAGGGAAAGCTTTCCAGTGGACAAGAGATAGCTGTTAAAAGGTTGTCTAGGGACTCAAGACAAGGAGAACTTGAATTCAAGAATGAGGTTATTACTAGTTGCCAAGCTTCAACACCGTAATCTCGTTAGGCTCCTCAGTTTCTGTTTAGAAGGAAATGAGAGGGTTCTTCTATATGAGTTTGTTCCAAACGCAAGTCTCGATCACTTTATCTTTGGTATGGCTGCATTCCTCTGCTATTGTTCTATCAGAGAATCATACACACACACACACACACACATATTTATATACATGAATACACTATGCTTCAACTTTTATATATTCAAAGAGTACTGTGGGACTTATACATGCTATTGTGTGTGTGTGTGTTCTTTTTTTTTTTTTTTTTTTTTTTTTTTTAAATTTACTGAACTCATGTTATAGATCCTAGCAAGCGCGTAAATTTGAGCTGGGATGGACGTTTCAAAATTATACAAGGTGTTGCTCGAGGACTCCTTTACCTGCATGAAGATTCTCGACTAAGAATTGTCCGTCGAGATCTCAAAGCTAGTAACATTTTGGTAGATTCAGAAATACACCCTGGGAATTCAGATTTTGGATTGGCAAGGATGTTTGTTGTTAACCAAACTCAAGGCAGTACCAACCGTATTGTGAGAACCTAGTGAGTACATATCAAATTAAGCTAAGCCTCTTTTCATAAGGATTACTGATTAACTGTCTTTGGAAAAATGTTTTTATTTAAAAGATTTTGACTGAGTAATAGGCAATATATATGAAAAATGTTTTTTTTTTTAAGATTTTCACTGAGTAATAAGCAATATAAGTGTATCCTCTTAGTTTCCATTTGAGACACTAATTAGCTCCATATAATTAATTAAATGTTAGTTATTAAATCTTTCTTTGCAGTGGATATATGGCCCCGGAGTACGTTTTATATGGGCAATTTTCAGATGTATTTAGTTTTAGTGTTACTTTTTGAAATATTAAGCGGTCAGAAAAATAGTCGTTTTTGCCATGACGAGCAAGTGGAGGATCTCTTAAGCTATGTAAATGCAAAACCACACTATGCCCTGGCCTAAATTATGAGAAGCAATTGATGAATAAATAATCATATCTCTAACCTTACAAGCACATGCGTTGAACGTCATTGCAGGTATTGGCCAAATTGGAGGGAGGGAACAGCTTTGAATGTTGTAGATCCTCGAATGAGACTTGGTTCAGGATCTGAAATAATGAGATGCATCCACATTGCTTTCTTATGCGTCCAAGAAAATGTGGCCAAGAGACCAACCATGAATACAGTTGTTCTCATGCTAAATAGCGACACGCTCTCCTTGTTGGATCTATATATCCTTGTTCCACATTCTAAGAGTCATCACACCAAATTACTAAGAAAATAAGTTAGAACAAATATCTGTCTCCATTAGTGCAACCTTAATCTCCAGTAGAATTATCTAAGACAACGAGCACGACGGTTATTGCCTTCCTCAGTCAAATCTCCAGATTCTTAAATGGGGTGTTTTCTCTCTAGATGGGGAAGAAGGAAAACGACCGAATAATTTGACATATAGGAGACTATAACCTAAGTTTCTTTATATATTGCCCCATTAGGCTCCCATTAAACCTAATTGGGTCAATATGGGTATCCACCCATTCAACCTATACCCTGTTAGGAAACTATTTGGGTTTTCTATAATTAAATCACTTAATTAGCTCAATTAATTAAATAGCTTAATATAATTATTATAAATATGTGGCCCATAATTATTATTAGGAAATATAATTTTCTAACACTCCTCTCTCTCCCGGCGCCCTCAGAACCAGCTTTCTTGCATAGCTACGGCGGATCAGATATGCCATTAACGTATTCAATGGTGAATAAATCAGATAATTGTAGAAGTGAGTGTGCCCAAGTATCTGTAAATCAAACTTCAATCACTGAACTTTACCCTCGGTAGTGTGTGACAAGAACTTCACATTTAACATGGTCAATTGTGTATATAATAATAACTGCCCATTTCCCCTCTGTATTTTCTTGTATTTTTTTCCTGCATGAGGGCCAATTTTCCTTTCTCGGTCAATGCATTTGTGGCTTGATGAAATTATGATGAATTAATGCATCTAAATTATGAAGGAAAGAAAACAAAAATCTTCGTTTTCAACCAAATTGGATGCCGCTATACTTTTTGATTGGTTATTTCTATATTTACCAGAAGATAACTGGTGATAAGTTATATATATTATAGTTACATTTATAGGAGTGTTTTGTTGGTTACTGCGTAAAAATTGCAAACGATCGACTTGACACGACTATAGTCAGCGGACAACTTTTTGCATCTGGTATGCACAATATTAATTAAGAAGAGCATTATGTAGAAGTCAGTGTTAAATTAATAAAAATAATAAAGATACGCATACGCAAATTCTTCGTGTCATATACTTTTTTAGAGGCCCCACTCACAACTGCTTTATCGCAGTTGACAAAGTAAATGCAGAAACTTCTACGTTTCACATTGGAACAAGTCAATGCCGTGCACCATATAGAAAAATTATCACTATGCCCGGTTCTCTGTCTCTCTCTTTTTATTTTTTGAAAATATTCATGGTATGACATAGATTTTTACTTCATCGCTAGAAACTATTCTTTTAACCGTAATTAGAGTAGTTTTTTAACCATTAAATTTGTAAATGTTCACATGAAAAATTTGCTGAGTGCGATACATTACGATTCCGTATGGAC